CATTCTATCAGAACAGCTTGGCTATATTAAATGGGGCTGACACATTTCTATGGTCAGGAAGGTGGTGTGAAAGTTGTAGACACAGGCCAGAGCACATGTGGGTGGATACTACTGGGAGTGACAAAGCTCTCAGGCAGCAAAACTCACCGATCCATCAGATGCGCTGGCTCCTACTTTGTCCCCTGTGGCGTTCCAGCACACTTCAAAGATCCCACCTGTCCCTCGGTAGCTGTGGACTAAAGCACCCGTCTGGAGAGACACACACAGATTCATCAATAACAGGCAACATCTTTAGAATATTGTGGTTCAGCATGTATTACCAGATCAGCTTTTAATTTGAAGGTAGCATCACAGACCTGAGTGTTCCAGATATGGACACACTTGTCAAAGGAGCCGCTGGCCAGGTGCCTGCCGTCTGGGCTGAAGGCCACGCTGTAGACGGGCTCCTGGTGGCGGGTCAGAGTGTGGATGCACACGCCCCGCTCCACGTCCCACAGACGCACTGTTGAGTCAAACGACGCACTGCAGAGAGAGGGGAACGAGAGAGGATGCAAAGGGTCATGTGTCAAGAACCATGTGCCAGATATAAAATACACTGTGTCAGTGGCACGACTGCTACTTAAAACGGAAACTGAAACCCACCCCTAAATAAATCTAAAAATCCAATCCAGAGAGTAATTGATGGGAAGCAAACATGGCAGAGCTGCGTTATCCCAGACACAGAAATGAAGATGTATTTTTTTAGGCAGCTCGATGTTACCAATAACAAACCAATAACCCATTCTAAGCTTTAATTATTTACAATGATTCTTTATTCAGTTAAACATGCAGTTAATGAACCCTGAATTCAGAGAGAATACAAGGAAGTAATAATGCTGGCTAATGCACAGCCAACTCTTATTTGCATTGTGTAGTGAACCATGTCCAAATCCTGAGCACATCCAACTGAAAGCAAACATTTTTCTCTGGACTGTTCTTTCAAAGGGATACATCAAATCTCAAACAAACAAACAAACAAGCATTTAACTCTCATGCCATAGTTACGTTTAACTGAAAAACTCCCAAAATGTTAGTATTAAAAAGGCCATTTACTATAAACAATCTGTTTATATCTGTGACTGTTTTCTAAAGGTGTTCCACCAACAACAATTTACATACCATAAACATCCCCTTATAAATAGAAATCCCCTTTGACACATGACATAGAGAGAAAAAAGATGAAAAACTAGGAACATGTTTCATTCGATTCTTACCTGGCCAGCATGAGGCTGGCGTTGGGATTGTTGGTCCCAGGGCCTGTGGGGCTCCACTTGATGGTGTAGATTTCTTTACTGTGGGCCTGGAGGTCATGGACACACAAATCCTGCTTCATACTCCAGATCTATGTGAGAGAAAATCAAGGCAACATTTAAAAGCTATTAATTTGACTTGTAATGTACGCTTGGGATACAGTGTTCCTATGAAGGCCCGCCTTGTTCTTTTCCGTTAGGCCTCATTGCGTTGCGTGAACCGACCTTTAGGGTCATGTCATCGGAGCAGGAGGCCAGCAAGCTGCCAGTAGGATCCCACTTTATGGCGTTCACTTCATTCTAGGGTGAGAAAGACGTGAGTGTAAACAAAACGTCTGACTGGCGCACACGGCCACAGATAATACAATACACTACATGAGGATAACACTGGCTTATGACCAAACAAAAATCTCTTCTAAATTCAAGACTTTAAACAAATCTTTTCCAAGGTTAGGGTTTCATTTACTCCAGCTCACATTTTTATTTTCAAATTGGTCAAAAATGAGAAGAATAAAAAAAAAAAACAGACTCTTTGCCATAACAATCATGTTGCCCTGCATAGTCCATATTTCTATGAAATAAATTAGTTAATAACCAGCCTATCAGGCTAATCAGCTTATGACAGAGACAAATGATAATGGCAGTGACACATAATGGTATGATAATTGTAGATTATTTTTTTTACCACTGACTGAATGCACTTTATGAGCACTATAACTTTTATCAGAAACCAAAAGGAGGGAGTGCCACCCTGATATTATGTAATGTTCCATCTAAATATAGTCAAACCTAATAATAGACATAAATTTAACTGAACCACTGTAAAGTGATCCCTCTCCTTTCATCTCAGACAGCTGTCACAAAGCTCCCTGCCAGTTTGCATTCATCCTTTACTTTACTGCCATCTTGTGGCTGCAGTCTGCTATTGTCAACTGATCAGACCAATGTGCGGGTCAAGCGGACCTGGCTCTGCCTTTACTGCTCTGAGATCAGTCAGATCTGGGCTTTGTGTGGAAGCACAGCTAGTGTTAGCAAGTAAACAAGCATCACCGAGTTGCCTCTTGCTAATCAGTGTGGCCAACGTGTGTGATGTAGAGAAAATGGAGAGTGAAAAGGTTGATACTAGCTGATACTAGTACATTACCAAGGAAAGTTGTGACAATGATGTTTGACTGAATATAAGTTTAACCAACACTCCACCTTTATTTGTCATGAACATTTTAGATATTGACAGTTAATCGTACTGTCAACGCTTTTCATTACACATTTTATTACACTTTTTAAAAACATTTTTATTCATGCAGCAGCAATATTTGAAAAATTCTTATTCTACTTGATACAATTTTGCAATTATACAGATTATACCGTGTTTTATTGCTTCTCTACCTAAAGGAATGGTTTGAAAACTTCATCCAACACGTCATTTTCAGCTAATAGTAAATCATTTTGGTATAGCAGATATTCATTTAACTAGAAAAATAATATTTTACAAGTCATAAACTAGGAAGGAGTGTAGACAGGCAGCATAAATGTTTTAATCTGATCCAGTCTATCTTGTTAAATAATGAAGGAACATGTTTCTGTTTGTGTCTCTGGGCAACAAACTTCTCCCTTTGTCTTTCTGTAAAAGTCACCGCACGTCACTGATCAAACACAGCGCATTTGAGCAGCAGAGCTGTTTTCCTACGTGTGCAATGGAGTGCTAACACTGGAGTGTTCTATTCTCACCGTGTGTCCCTGGAAGGTCTTCACAGGTCTGTCCTGGCCCAGCTTACACACATGGATGCACATGTCTGTGCTACACGAGGCAAATGTGTTATTGCTTTGCCAGTCGACATCCAGAGCGGGCGCTGTGGAGAGGTACAGATATAGCTTAAGGCTAATGCAGCAGTAAGTTGACGTAGAAGATCACAAAGAACAAATCACAGTAAGGATTTCTTCCTTCCACAATAGATCTGATCATTAGATCAACATGTGGTTTTAAAACAAAACAAAAGAAAAAAAGCTTTGTCTATTCATTCAAAGCTGAAATGATACCTTGTGTGTAAAGATATACTAGCTTGAATATCACAGGATCAAAGCTAAGTCACAATGTCCAGAAAAACTAGACAGAAATAAGAGAAGGTCTTCTCACTGTGCTCACACACTGAAGTTCAACTAAAGGTAACGTATGCCTAAAAACAGAAACACTCCAGGAAACGTCATGTGAACAATCCAGCTGACTCCTGTCACTCACCTGAATGGAAAGGAAACTGTTGCTTCGCCTCTCCCGTGTGTGCATCCCAAATAATTGTCGTCTGTGTGAAGATAGAGATGCTTTTTATGACTAACTAGTGTCATTTATAAAAAACAATCAAAAACATTACATAGAATAAAACACTATTTTTAACATCTTGCAATCTTTTCATATTTTGTTGCTGCACAAGCAGAGATAATACAAAACTACACAACTATATCACAAACATAACAACATTTTTATATCAATACGCCAGCCCTTGGTCAATCATGAGAATGCCAAGGTGACAAGGTTTTAATATACTTCTGTACACTAGGTGGCAATGTTGAACCATGTGTTGATAATTCTGACTGGACAAACAAATAGCTTTGTGATTTCAGATGAAACGCTGCCCTTCACATTTATGACATACAACAACCTGATTATGTTACATACTGAGCCAAATCCAAAATATCCACACAGACGTGCATGGCATCAATTTGCTATTGCTAAAAGGAAGAAAATTATAGAAAATAATTGTCATTAAATTATCATTTATGCAAATTCATTTTTCACTTTCCCTTTATAGCAGAATATCATTACGAATTTTCTGCTTTTAAATTTGATTCTATAAAAATGGGCAATATTTTGAGTAATGACCAATCAAACCCAAGACAATATGTTCAAATTGTTCGTTTCAGTCAGACCAGGAATCCAAACCAACGACCGAAAATTTCCACCCCAAAAACATTCATAAATAATAATAAAAAAATACAAAGAAAAGCAATGTGTCTCACCTTATCCACACCAGCGCTAAGGATAAAGTTTCCTTTCTTATTCCACTTGAGTGCAAATATAGGGCCTTTATGCTGACCCAAAGTACTGGCCAAGTTACCTGAAAAAAATAACCAAATGCCACTTGGAAAGAGACCAGGGACAAACGCCTGAAATGCTACGATGCAGAAGATGCCAGAGTCTTACCGTCTTTTGTCCATATCCTAGCAAAGCCATCATATGAGCCGGTTGCTAGTAATGTCCCCTCGCTCTGAAGGAAAGAAGCGTGGTGTCATTAGGTGCAGCCAAATTATTATGACTAATTTATGAGTAAGTGAATGAGGCTCATTTAAAGTGTTGTGCATTGACTGACTACAAAAAAGGGTAACAGGAAAATATAAGAACAAAAGAGCACAAAATGTTTGCAGCTTGGTTATGGAAAAGGCATTTTCCCTCATCTGAGTGCCTCCTTATACATGGCTATAGTTAGAAGGAATGCCTCCTGATAAAGTTGTGTTTATTAGCATGCACACAGGCGCACAAACCCACACCCGAAGACTAGATGACCAACACAGAGCACTCAGTATGATCGTGTTAGTGTGTGGGTTCCACAGTTTAACTTGACACAATCCTACTTTCACTCACATTCCAGTCTAGTGAGGTGACGTCTTTGTTGCTGGGTACGTCCTGGCCCCCTTCCCGAATGCAGTGCCTCAGAACCAGCTGGGTGGATCCGCCTGTGCTGTTCTCGCTCAGGTTCCAGATCCGTGCTGTCGAGTCCCCGGACCTGAAGGAGTCAAAACAACCTTGCGTTAGGCACACCCACATGACTTGGACTTCTAAAATCGGTACTGATAAGGTTATAAAACTGACCATCATTGCTCCTGAGTAGGGTTGGGGTTTAAAGGCATTTTATCGAACCTGAACCCAAATCATCAAATCCAAAATCTTTTAAAATCCCTATCAAAACTTTTCACATCATCTGTTGAAGAAAAAGGAGAAAGAGATTTTACAAGCACAAAACTCATTCACGTTGGTTTATGTGGATACTTGGCCCTTTACGCAGACCCTCCTATATTACAGGATTGTTCCAGATGTAATCGCTTTTTTCCTCCATTTTATTTTAAGACGCATGCACATACTGAGGAGCAAGACTGTTGAATACACAGCAAACAGCCAGCTGAATACTTACCTCTGGTTGGCTACCATTATAAATTAAGACTCGACGGTTTAATTTGGAAAAAAGGTTTAAAATGCTATTGACTTTATTTGGCCATGTTCCAGCTTTTAATTCCTGCTGAACAGAGCTTTCGTTCAAATGATCGTTATTTTTAGCCTTTTTTAGTCCACATAGTGGTTGTGCATCATGTTGGACTGCATGCATTATTCTTCTTTATCATCTTGTTCAACTGCTGAAAAATTCAGGCATTTCCCTTGAGCCATGTTGACAAACAGTGGAGCGTAGGAGTGGAGAAGTTTATGTCTGATGTAACCGCAGAGAGAGCTGATTTATGAGTGGGTTTGTCTGACTAAGAGTTTAACAAATTTTGGTCCGAGTAATTAGATAAGAGTAGAGCAAATACAGCGTTTAATGTACGGCCCATTTACCTAACAGGTGCATGGAAACAAAGCTTACTCTTGAGGTTATCTACCTGGTTTTAAAGCCATAAAAAAGCCACCAGCTATAGATAGACTGACTGTAAAACGGCAATAAAGTGCACAGAGTTTGACACTTGAAGCAAATAGAGAAGAATTTAACATTGTGTTTAACCCTCTGGGGTCGACAGACACGTCGGCGCGTCAAAATCACATGACCAATTTAAGACGACACAGCTTTCACATGTGGGACATTAATGATGTTTAGCGTGTTTAGAGGCTATAGTTAGTGTGTTGTGTAGTTATTGTTTTGTATTGTGTGTCAGTTATACTGCTGAATGTCACAGTTGCTCCAAAAAAGCCACCAAAGGCAGATTCCAGTGTAAACACCGTCCCCACATGGAAAACAGGACTGATACACCTCCTGCTGTCAGACCTACAGAGTTTAGGCCTGTGCTGTTCTCCTCTGTCTTATACTGAACAAACTATTTTTGGACTGGCACAAATAATTTGTGTGCCTTCTTTTTGATGCAGCACACCTGTTCTGTAAATAGTTTTAAATGGTTAAATAAAAAAAAAAACCACCTGAGGCCTTGGCTGCATTTTTAGGTAAATGGTACCATATAACTTTGTTGTTTGCAAAACTTGTGCATAATTTTTTAGAAATGTACAATTTCTATTTGCATTTCAAGTTATGAAAATGATTCATTAAACGTGTTTGTGGGTTTTACAGTAAGAAATATAACGTTTTTCTACTCGGATTTTGAATTTTTTTGTCTGAATTTAGATCTATAGTGCTAATATAGTATGCCAAAATGAAAAAACAAATTTCAGATATTTGAGGTTGTGCTGAAAAAAATGATACTAAACAAGGCAAGATAAACAGATTTTAAATGTGAAATATAGAGTTAAAATCAAAAGTAGTCAAAAACGGCCAATTATACCCTGGACCCCAGGGGGTTAACACCAAAAATGATTCTTGTCACTTTATCTGTCACTGAGGGTTAAATCAACACCTGTCAGGAAATCTGCTGCATTGGATTAATTTGTTTTCTGAAAAATGTGTCACATTTGCAGCATGTTTTGTTCTTGAATACATACTCCACCCATGTAAAGAGATTCCTCTGTGTGATTAAGATAAGATAAGATAACCTTTATTAGTCCCACACGTGGGAAATTTTACCAGTGTTGGTCAAGTTACTTGAATATAGTAATTAGTTACTATTACACTGATTACTTCTCCAAGAAAGTAATCCTGTTACTTTACTCTTTACTTATTTTCACATGTAATTAATTACTTTATTACTTAGATACTTTTAAAAAACAAGGTACACAACCTAAAGCACCAGACCTTTCAGCCCAATTCTATTTCTTCTACATAATCCATCATATAAATCAAATAAAAAACAATTTTTAAAACTTGTTTTATTTGTTTTAATCTTTTAACTTTATGCACATTGCATCGAGCAAAAATTACAAAATATGCAACATTCTCTCACTTGAAGAAATTTGTTTAAAGCTATTTTCTGCATATCCCAGCATATAAAATAAAATATTTTTTTGTGTTTACACTCACTCTTTCAAATAGAAGCAACTAAAACTGCTGCAGCGGTCATGTCAGTGAGGGGATCCGGGGGTTTCTCTGAATTTCACATTCCTGTGGCAGCGTGCTCGGTACTTGCTCAGATTTCAATTTAAATTTTTTGCTGTAGAAAGAACTTTTCTTCCCACACAGAGTGTACAACAGACGCTAATGTTTTTGTCACTTTTTACGGAATCAAACTCAGAGTAATGTCAGTACTTCCCAGCTTTAAAAGCTGCACGGTCGTACTCTCTCCAACACTCCATATTATCCATTGTTGATCTACACACGTCTGCTGCTGCCACGGATATCACACGCTCACACGTCATTCTCATTAGACACTCTCATAAACAAAATCAAGGTTTAGTAACGCAGTAACACAGCGTGCTAATGGGAAAGCAACAGTAATCTAGTTACTTTTTTGCAATAGTAATCCCTTACTTTACTCGTTAATTGAAAAAAGTAACCTGTTACTGCCAATCTCTGGTGATTACACTGAAGTGCACCAGCAAATGTCCAGGAAAACACTCCTCTAACTGAGAAACATTCATTTAGCTGTGATAAAAGCTCACTGACTATTCCACACAAGTTATTCTTTTTATAAATCAACCATTTAAAAATGATCAACTATGTTTACAGATCTGGACTCTTTATAATAAATCATCAAGAGTGAACTCTGGGTAAAAATACTTAAATTACGACCGATATAAAAAAGACAAGAAGGATAAGCTAAATAATTTTGGTTATTTGAATTACAAGGTGAAAAGGTGATAATGTGAAGGTTTCAAAGAAACACGCTTAGCTGCACCAACTCTCGCCCATAACAATCCCATGTTTGCATCAGAAAACTGTAATACTGACCCAGAGGCGAGGAGGTCGTTCACTGGGTTCCAGGCACAGATAAAAACCTCCGATTCGTGGCCCCTCAAGACCATGGCTTTACTCTGGGGGATCTCCACATCCCTGTCTACCTCCATCATCTCCGAGTGGTGATCTACAGGAAGGAACGTGAAACAAAAACTTAAGTATTCTTTAAGTACTGTGCAATTTTTCGGAAAGCAAAGCGAATGCAGTGCAGCAGGAAAAGAGAAGCAAATACATGAATGATGAGAAAAAATAATGAAAAGGTATGATATATGAGCACATGCTAGTTTCATCTCATTGAACGCAAAGAAGAAAAAGTAGAGTCCTGTTCTTCTGCTACAAAAGTTAATTATTTGAAAAGGAGTAACAAGTTTTCACTAAACATTATTGTGCAACAACCAGCCTAACAAACAGCATCACGCTGTACAAGATTAGTCATGATGGCAATCTGACATCACCCAACCTACAAACCACAGCATTCCCACAGCAGCACACCAGTATATCATCGCTTGAACATATTTCATAAAAAGTGGCTTAACCGCAAGCACGAGGTGCTGAGGTCAGATGGTTAACACCACTGTGTCCACACAGCAGGAACCGGATCCTCAGTGTGGAGGTGTTTAAGCAGTGTACTGAATTGTAGTTCATCGGTGTTCTTGAAGTCCTAAAGCTCCAGCACACAGGAACTATTGCGGGTAGGGCTGGGCCACATCATACCGCTCACGGTAATAATAATGTTGGGCAATGATAAGAAAATGAAATACTGCGATAGAATATGGGTAAAACGCGTATGCACAATGCCTTTGCTTTTATACGCACCGTCATTATTACCAAACCGATTTTATGTGGTACACAGCGCTCAAAAATCTGTCAAAAATGTTTTAGTACCACTTTGCTAAGCTATGAAGCCGCACCGCTTGATGGATTGTCGGAGCATTATGGCTACCGTAGTCGGGAGCCTCGCAGAGTAATACGTACTGTGCTTCAACATAATATTACCGTATTGTGTGTGTATAACCTCTTTATAAGCTTTATAGATATTATACATGGTTATGCTGAGGATATGTCGGCCCATTTCCACTGGAAAAGCCTTTTGGTTAAACTGTGCGGGTGTAACACATAAAAAAATAAATAAATGTAAGAAGGACTTTCTGGATGCAGCTAATCAGAGTCATCTGCAAAATACAAGCAAGTCAACCCCATGTTATACACTCACAAGGAGCCGGCTAACAATGACTTCATTTTGATCCTCGAAAACTTGAATTGTGCCGTAGGGAGCAGTTATTAAATCTCAATCAAATTCTCAATGTGTTATCGTATTTAAAACACATTGGGAAAACGGAGGAAACAAAGCAGACTGGAATTATCCTTTTATGATAAAACAACAGACAGCACAACTGTACAACACAGTCAGGCCAAAACCAACAAAACCAAAAGCACTTTACGCAAAACCCTCAAACTGTGACGCAGCCGTGACGAGAAAGATTAAACAGGTCACACAGACAGAATCGTGCAAAAAACTAAAATAAAAATCAAAGAGGTTAGCTTTAACAAGATGCAGTCTTTCAGAATATTATGAAGCCATTCTAGTGAAATTAGCAAAAAAAAAAAAATTTTTGACTCATAACCTGATTGTGACATTAATTCAGTTTGTACTGTTGCCTCACTAAAAGTAGATCATCTAGGTGTTTTGTGTACTCATGTTTGAAAATGTGCCAACACTACTTTGTTTTATAACTGTGTATCAGGCATTTAGCTCAAAATAACATCCTGCATGAGACAAGAAAACACAGCTGGTAGTTCACAAGCTGATTCAGATTGTTTACAACCATGAGCTAAACTTACTGGCTAAGGCGTGGGATCCATTTTCCTCCCCGTTGGCAGCGCCCTCTCCGTTCTTGGTGCTTCCCTGTGGCCCCGTGCTGCTGCCACTGCCCGCTGCCGCCTGCTGCTGGGCCAGCTTGTCTCTGTAGGCCTGCTGCCTGGTCTGGACCACATCTGGCATTACGGCATCAATCAAAGACAAGGACTCGATTGGCCGCCCGTCAAATAAGGTGCCGTCCTACAAAGAGAACATACAGTGTTATTTAACCCCATTACCAAAGGAGTTGGAATGATTGGGGAAAAAAATTGGGGGGGGGGGGAGGGGAAGGAAGCTGGAAGATTAGCACGTTGACAGTAGCCATCTTAGTTTTGAAAAACTGAATGTGATAAAGAGGAACAGGTCTGACTGTGAAACTACTTGCTCGGTTTAGCACCCAGGCTCTTTTAACAGAGCCAAGCAGCTGTGACACAGCCAGCATGTGTTTGGCATTGCCTCGCTGAAATAAGCACATTATTGCTGAAGATTCACCCCTTCCATAACAACATGAATTTTGGCTTTTTAACAGTGTGTTCATAACAAGCCAGGTGGTCTGGCATTCATGATTTCCAAAAAAAATTTCTAACTGAAGTGGTCACACTGTTATCAGAGCAATCGACACATAAGTAAACACTACACCTATTCTTTCCAGCATGTTTCAAGTGTGAACTAATCAGTCGATAGCAATGCAAAGACAGACCCTGACCTCATTGATGCTGACTTCAGCCTCCACATACTGCAAGCCTTTCTGAATGATGGAAATGAGGGCAGCAGGGGGCACCAAGGCTCCATTGATGTTGGACTGACTGATGTGGCTCTCTATGCCAAAGGTGAACGCAGAGTGAGAGAAGCCTGCGGGAAGAACGGATCATGCAAAAAGTAGGATGAAGTCAAAGTTCATTTCCACAGACTCAAATGCTGCAAGATTAAAAGTTATTCATGAGCAAATATTAAAACTACTAACAGTGCGATTACTACAACAGCAAGCAGAGCTGAGCAAATATTGATTTGTTGAACATACCAGACTCCTGCAGATATCTGTAAACCAGGAAATTAACCTCATCACTGCTTATGCTCATTTTTAGTCCTGGTGATTAAACCATTGGGTCAGCACAGGATAGGAGCCTGTAAAAGTAAAGCACAGAGCACAGAGTTCATTAAAAGCCGGTGGTATTAGACACTGCAGAAGTGAAATGCAAACGAGTTCTAGTGGTACACATCTTGATCACTAATGTGTTCAAATCAACAACAACATAAATGGACTGCAAAAACATTAGTTGGTATTCTGGCACACTAAATCAGTTTTAAAAGGGTCATACATGCACTGAAAATGAAAATGAATCCTTAAATGAAATCATTAAAAATAAATTAACTTGCTTGACCTACATCTTGGATATTCAAACACAGAAGTAGGCAATCGCAAATGTCATTTGATAAATGACGACATCTTGTTCCTCTTTATTTGTGGATGCAGAAACCACTTAGCTCTAGGCAGGGCACCAGTTTCCATTCATTAACCTACAACAGGAAATAATTACCAGCCGCCTTCACGAGGCAGACAGGGTATTTTAGACTGAAACGTCTGGGAAGGATGGGCTTTAAACCTCGGCAATAATCCATCGAGTACTTGTGTCTGTCCTCCATATTTGTTCATGCAGAACCTGCACTGTTTAAATGGGACTGTGGAAATAAACAAGGGGACTGGACGAGGGACAGAACGTCTACTGTTTCCACGATGCCAGCCTGCTGAAAAAGTCAACATGTCTCCTGCCACATCCCCGAGGCTCAGATCCAAGACCAACTCAACCAAAAGGGCTGGAATCTGGTACAAGCCCTTCAGTAATCCATAACAAGGTGGTCAGAAAGTCCTGCTGGATACATTTTCTCACAATGAAGCAGTATGACTAGAACTTAGCAAAAAGCCTGAAAGAAATCACAATCTCCCATAAGCTCTACTGAAGGAAACAAAAAATGACAACTAACAACACATTTCAATAAAATATGCACCCCTTGCCACCAGTGTATTACTGTCACAGCACTGTCTTCACCTTATAATCTCTGTTTGATGGTTATGGCACAAATAAATGTAAGCTGATGCAGCACTCCTGCTGTGTGAGCTTTTATGCTCACAAACCTGACATCACATCTGCTAGTGACAGCAGCAGTTCTGGTGTCACTTCAACCTCTTGATTATTGTAACCCAGCTTGTGCCTCCACAGCTGGGTGCAGAACCTGAGTGTACAATCGTGTTGGTTTTTACCGCCAATACAGAAGCTCAGTGATTCACAGGTTATACAAAAGGGGATGTGTCAATAGTTTAAAACACGAGCCTTTGTGGAAAAATAGCTTCGCCAATGTCTTTCCTTCCGGTTTTGACTCCTTCCCATCTTCCCATTTCTGAACTGATGTGGCGTACAGTCTGAGTAGCAACACCTATTGTTCATTAGAAAACTCCAGCAGCTACCCGCGTCTTTAAAAGCGAACATAAATAGAAGCTGAATGCAAGTCAGGTCTAAATGGTGAGCAAAGAGTTATGAGTATCTCTTAGGTAACTTTCAAGCTTGTTATGAAATTTTAATTAGCAGCTTAATAGCTCAGAGACATAACTCCCAAAGCTTAAGCATCATAAGTCAGCTGTCTACCCAAAACCCTTTCAGACATGCATTTCTTTTGATTAATCTGCCAGCATCTGAACATGCTGGCTTCTCGTCTGAATATCAGTCATGGTCACTTTTCTGTAAAGGCTGTCACGGCAATCTTAATAGTTTAGACCTTTTAACATTTATGTATCGCTTCCAACACAACATGAAGTCACAATAACTGACAGGTCTACGTCTGTCACATAGCCACTCACAGTAAGATTAAAGCTAGAATAAATAATTTGAGATTATCTGATAGAAAAAAAATTATGGCACTAATAAATACACACAGATGGGTGTGTAATGGGTTTTTCTAACAAACTAATGCATCCTCATCAACTTAGAATGAATACATAAATATATAGACAAATACATATTGGCATTAGTTTGTGGAAGCCACCATGTTGCCTTGCCTTCTTTTATTTTCATCATATCGCCTCCATCACTCCTCTCTCCCCTGCCTGATTTCCACCTCATACTCTTTCTTCTCACCTCAAGCTTCATCTCCTAAACTGCAGTCAGGGCTCTAACACAAGAAAACATGTGACTGCACCTGCAAATGTGCTTATTTATCTTTGCAGGTTCAGTCACACATAACACTGAGGGGAGGGGATCCCTCAATAAAAAAGCTGACAACCCACTCCTCCACTCTTAAGTAGGCAAGGGCCTGATGAGAAGTGGAGGAGACAGTAAAGTCATTTTAAACATAGAAAAACAGACTGAACAACTCTGAGGTCAAAAAGGAAGAACCAACAAAGAGAAGGTACTTCCAGCTGCGCCCTTATTCCAAGCTTGATTCACAGTTAGGAGTCCACTAACTTTTAACTCCTGAGGCCAAGACTGTGTCTCCTCTTGGTGTTGAACCTGGGATCTTTTGCGTGGAAGGCAAATGTGTTAACCACTACACCAGTACAAATGATAATAGAGTTGTGATATTAAACCTCTAATGTATTTACCATCCCCTGAAATTTCAATCAGTGATACTGCTTGTCTTCAATGGCAGGTCCTTCAATATCTCCCCTCGTTTACAAGAAGACTCAGATCCTTCACTTAAATTTCCTGCATGTCATTGATAATCCACTGTCTCTGGTTACCACTTCACTGCTTGAAGCTTTCTGTGTGAGTTTTCTTAGTCTGCATTTCATCTTCAGATAATTCACTCTCTTATTAGCTTCACTAACATCAACATGATATTCCTAAAGATAAAGTATGCAGTTAAATATGTGACTTATCATGAAACTGAGCCTGATTAACTGCAGGAATTTAGAGATTACAAGCATAAAATAACTTCTTATAATAATAATTTGGCAGCACTGGTTTACATTTAAAGACAAAAACAAACTATTCATATATTTTATGCTACATGCCACTTTGCTCTCTCTCTCTCTCCAGTTTCTCTGGTTCTCATTTCAGCCTCATTTATTCTTTTAACTTTAGTTAAAATCCAAGCATTTTAGGACATTCCTGGTGATATCTATTAATGCTGGATTCTCAACATTTTCTTTCACATTCCTATTACTAGGACCTGTACTACATAAGTAGTCATTTCAACTAGGGGTGGGCGATATAAATGATATACGATAGAAACGATATAAATTTGGCCAACGATAGAAATTTTGACTATATCGCTCTATCGCGATAGCGCATGTTGATGATGTCATCAAGCTGCGCCCGTTTTGGTCGAAAGCATCGCAGCGGCTACAACCATTATCATCTGCAAATTATGGCGGGCGACAGTCATAGCAAAGAGATGAAGCACTTTTGAAATATGGGGAAAGCCAAAAACTGCGCTTCCTCCACTTCCGTAACATTGATTCATTAATGCCGAATTTTCTCGCATCTGTTCTATTCCCATATTGTTGCAGTATATTAATAACTAACCTCGTATTGTGGATGAATAATCTTAGTTGTTCTCCTGACTGAAGTTTGGCCTGTGTATAGCATCCTGCTATGCGATTGCATTTGTCCCTGACTACCAGAATCCCTCACATTAACTTTTATCAAGTGGAAAAAAAGTTGGCATTCATCCTCCAGCTTCACTGTGCTAATGTTATGCTAACATAGCTGTGTCGCTAGCAATCACGTAGCACAACATTATATACCAGGTAGTCAACTTCAGTAACCCTACAAACGCCAATGCTGTTTAGTTTTCTGTCTTCATTTAAGTTGGAAGTGGTAGCAGAGCTGTACGTTTTAATTAGTTTCAAAAATCTCTGTCAGAACCTGGTATGTCATGTTTAGGTGTAAACTAGCGAGCTAACTTCCTGTTAAATTTAATAAATTCTGTTTTCATGGATGCATGGATGTAAAACTTAATTGTTACACCCGATAAAGCAGCAACGCTGATGATTTAATTAAAGATGAAAGAATTTAGACCGTTTTTAACTCTTAGTGTTCATTTGGCTTTGGGACCTGAAGGGGACGGAGTTTTGGACCCAGATTACTCCGCGAAGCTCCTCACTACGGCAGCCGTAATGCTCTGACAATCCATCAAGCAGTGCGGCTTACCAAAGTTGTACTAAAACATTTTTTAACAGATTTCTGCACGCCCAAATCGGTTCGAGGTCAGTAAGCACAACCAGAATTCATACATAAGGCACACTTTGATTTTTGAGAAACTTAAAGGATTTTAAGTGTGCCTTATAGTGTGGAAAATACGTTATACAGAAGAAAAGAATATATCGCGATATATATCGTTACCGCACATGCTTCAAATTATATCGCTATTGCTATGCTATTAACAATGCTATTTATCGTACTGTTTATTTTAATCTCTATGTGCAGCGCTTTGTGACTACCTGCCTATGAAAAGCGCTTAATAAATAAACTTACTTACAAACTAACTTACTATCGCGATATGAATTTTAGGCCATATCGCCCAGCCCTAATTTCAACATTCCCAGGATATCTCTTCCTTATGTGGGATCACTTACCCAATATCAGAAATCAGGCTATAAGGTCACATGACAGTGGTTAGCATCTTAATAAGTTAACTCAGGGTTTCCTAATCTAGCTACGAGGACATTCACACGAAAGGGGCCGCATTAGCAGCATGTGACCAACCGCAAACACAGACAGATCAACTGGCAGCAGAACAACTGATTTTACAAAGCAAGAGGATATTTATAAAGTCTATAAATATGAATATTTAAAATACAGACTGAAAGGAACACAGCTGTTGCAGACAAATCAGCTACAAGAGTGCTCTTAAGGGGCAAATTACAGTATTGAAAGTACTGTATAAATGTGTGTGTAGTTTAAGTGCTTTGGTCAGTGAAACTGGAAAAAGAGTTGCTAAAAGTAACTATTCAAGTGCAGCTTATTTAAAGCAAGGAAGAAAAGCTGGAAAAAAAATACTGTGTAAGTTAAAGGACTTCTCAGTGTTACACCTTAAGGACATGGGATGATCAGAACGACTAGATCATGTTTAGGGTGTAAGACAATTTTCTTTTTTCAACTCCAGCACTGATGATGTTTAACAGCAAGTAAAGAATAATTATAAAAACAGAATTCAAAGGTAGGCTTAGAGAAAGTGTCAGCTTCACGTATTAAGGCAAATAGAACAACAAGGAGAGAAAAAACAAAGGAGGAAGAAAAAAAACACTCTAGCCCTAAGTATTATTCACAAACCAAGTTCAGAGGGATTTTCAAAGAATGATGAAACGTTTTGTTTGTTTGTTTTTACAGAGAACTGATTGGTCAGCATGTAGTGATTTTGTACCTGCTGATCTCTTATCTCAAATGTAAAGAGGTGATGTAACCCTGTACAAATACAACCCCCTTTGTAATACTGACAAACACTGGGTTAAACCTGAAATTACAGCAATAAGCCCAAATCCTGCTCCGTACTTTAGACTTCTGGTTAGACCACAGATAAAAGACTGCTGTGCTCTTCTTTAGAAGAGTCCCCACACTAGGCATTAGCAATATAATTTTCAACACAACCAGGAGAAAGACACCAAGCAATACCTACGG